AAAGCCTACGTTTATCTTATTTTCTTTTCTATTTTGTTCGAATTTGTATCTTCCTAAACGATTTTTGTGTCAGTTGGCTTGTTTAAATGTTCTTATTACAGTGAAGATTTTAATATATTATTTATACTACTGAAATATTGTAAGTAGCTCAAAGCTTTTTCATTCGATATTAGTAAAAAACCTTTAATTCATTGAATAATATCAATAGTAATTTAACCAAATGTATTCTTTTGTAGATGTATATACATTTAAAACATATACCCACATTCACACAATGTTGAAAAATTATGTAAGGTCGTTGTAAACTAATAATACATCTGCAAGATAGGAAATATTACATAGATCTCTGTATAAATAGCTGCAGTCGGACTCTATCATATTTTGATTATTTTATCATGTTTATAGTAATCTTTTAACAGGAAATCAAAACATATTTATCATGAAATAGGGAAACAAAAATTATTTCATTTGTAAGTACTTTGTATGCATATATATTTATTTATGCAAAGGTTGCTCATTCGCATTTCCGCTTAACTTATGCGTTTGTAAATGCTTTCTAGTGTGTTGATTTGATGACTAAACTTGTGTAACGTTCAACAGTAATGATAATAAAAACTTATGCGTTTTTCAAATAACGATTTCAGTTCAATTCAGAGTCTGGTCGTCAGTAGTTGTCTGTAATATTAAGTAATAGTAGTTTTAGGTTTTTAAATTCAGATTACATAAAATTCCTCAAGATAACTTCTATAAAGAACTAATAACAGAGTCAAGAACCACTAAAAACTGAGAAACACTCAATAGGTGCGTAAGCTAACAAATGATTTTCACTCACCAGGCTTAAGGAAAAAGAAAAGCGATTAGCATTGGTAACTTTGTGCAATTTGAAAAGTAGTGTAGCTATCGTCACTTTAACACCTGTCTTATTTTATGACTTGTCAACCTCTACAATTTACGGAGTTTCTACTAGAACTTTCATGAAGTCATTTGGATAAAGGGAATCGATACGTACTAGCTTACTGTTATAGATGTAATCACTTTTTCTTTTTGCCCTTATCGTTTCAGGCTGTTGAATCAAAATTTTAAATAGATATAACTAGTTGAATTGTGTTCATCTGTCGTTTAGATATTCCCATTAACCTTTAGGAGTGTAATTGATCGGTGTCTTTTGACATTCGTACCTGCAGGTATATCCAGCTGACGAGTCCCAAACAGGAACAATGCCGCGTCCTGGATTTCACTGCTAGCCACTACCAATCTCTGCTTGAACTTTTACCTAATAGTTGTATTTCAAGATAAACACTAGATACTTCTTGTTAAACAAAGTTTTTATTGTTTTAGAAGATTTGCATTTTGAATAAACAATGATAATTAATTTTGTTGAGGTATGACATACATTTCGAGCTTATAATTCTTTGTAATAATAAAATATAGTAATTGTTAAGAAGATAATTATGGATATAATAACCTTGAATAATCATTTGCTTTTAAACTATGAACTAGAATTGTACTAATAACAAAAATCACGTTTATTTACATATGAGGTACCAATTACTGTAAACATGTAGGGTAATGACATCTCACTAAAATACATGTTTCATGGTGCCTTGACTTATCTGAAACTGTGGTGAATGAAGAACTGTCTCTTAAGGAAATTCTTTGCTAGATTTTATACATCAATCTACAGTTTTAGTGATCATAGGTAAGACAGTGAGTCAGATTTACAACAAGTAAAAAATTTCACTTTTTCAACGACGTTATGTAGGAAAACACCTTTTGATGTCTTCCTGTATGAATGCATGTGTATTACTGACACAATGATAGCCTATTTTCTGCTTTCCTTCAAGATTTAGACTACGTTATGTCAAGACGATTAGTTCGAGTAAATCATTTCGAACACAGTTTACTAGTTTATTGATTGGGTTGTTTAAATTTACCAAAAAGAACTGATTATTTCAAACGACTGTCATATATATGTGATATATATAAGGCTTTTATTGGTTTGTATTCAAATTACATAAAACACATCTAAGGAAGAATAAATGTAATCTTTATATATTAACTGGTTGAAGATAATGAACAGCAAGCCTTGTAATTAGGTTTCTTACTGGTTTTTACTTATAACACGAAAAATGTGCAGTCTTGTAGGGAATATAACGATTCCCGTATAGTTTAAACCATCTGCTGTTAATGTCACTACGACATGTGTTACTCAGTCTCATGAATTATGCCCAGAGAAAGATAAAGAAAAGGCAGCGATAAAAATAAATCGGGCAAGGAGAGGTAGGTTCCTTTATTCAAAGTAAAAGTAACTTGTACGGGATCATCTTCTTATACGGAAAGGAAAAAACAACCATATTTCTTCCATTTCATGTCTAAAGCTTTCATTAATGCTTTCTCCTTGGTAAAGTATTTTTTCAAAAACTATCTACTACCTATCAGATGAGATGATTTCAAGAATATATTGACAGTAATTTCAATTGTGGACTCGTATCACTTAAAAACATGAATGATTGTTTGGTTGTCTTTGTTTTAGTTTGAGAATCATTAACAAAGCACATTTACAATTCTATATGTAATGAAACTTTTAATTTATTTATTAATTTATAGAAATTTTTTAATTCAATACGGAATGTGTTTGAAATTTCAAGAAAAAAAGGAGCGGCAACACAAAAAAAAGAATAAAAAGAATGATTCGATGAATGAATAGTACGTGTTTCACAATAAATTCTTATTACTTATGCTTTTTTTCATCTTTTTCTACAGTCTCTGTTAAAAAGTATATTAAAAACGAGTATAACAAGGAATCATGTATATACACACAAATGATAATCTAAACAAATTGTCTGTAATGTATGTAGATAATAACGCCTTTTAAATAGAAAAAAAAAAGAAATCAATTCATGATGTTCAGACGTTAAGAGAAATATCAGAAGAAGAAAATACAAACAGTAACTAGGACGGAAGAAAGAAAGAAGGAAAGAAAGAAAGAAAGAGGGGACAATAAATTCTTTCTACTTTTAGGTAAAAATAATGGTTAAATTAAAATATCTTTAACATTTTTTAATGTGCAATTACCTGTAAATTATGTTGACTAACTGAAAAAAACTTTATGAATCGGTCATTTACATTTCTATGTGTAAATGTGAATACACAAATTTGTGTACAAGCGTTAAAAAACTTACGAAAAACCTAACAACATAAAACTGACATGTTATTTTTTTGTACACTCGATTATTGAAGTTTGTTTTTACTTTTTTTCTACTCCATTTGAATTATTTAACCAACAAAGTATTAGTGACATAACAAATGCAGAAAATGCAATACAAATTAACCAGTTTGTTTTAATCTATTTGAAGAAAATTGAATTTATCAAAGACATGCATAAAACTTATTTCTTATTTAAAATCTAAATGGTGGTTTGCATTTATTGACGACCAACTGATTGTGTAAAATTTTAGTGTAGTATAGTTGACTGAATGTTATAAAACGACTTCATTGGTTGAAATCATAAGTCAATTGAAGCTAGACCACCATGAAAACCTGGAAGCACTGGACAGCCGTTTCGTCATAGTATGGGACTCCTCAACAGTGCGCATCCAGTGGTCTAGTGGTTCAGTGCTCGTGTGCGAAACCAATAGGTCCTGGGTTTGGATCTCGCAGGGGGTGAGATCGTGGATGCGCACCGCTGAGGAGTCCCATACTATGACGAAACGGCCGTTCAGTGCTTCCAGGTTTTCCATGGTGGTCTAGCTTCAATTGACTCATGATTTCAACCAGTGAAATTTCTAAAATCTCCACAATCGCCATTCTGATAATAAAATGATTCATCATACCATTTTTCTTATTTGTTTATAAAGTAAACATATACAGTAGAAAACTTTGACTATAATATGTGAGGTATCTTGTAAACAATCTAATCTAATTGGTAACTGTTTGTAGTGGTTAGATTTCCGAAAATTAGGTTGTACCATTATTCTGTTTATTATAATTTGAGACAGTTTTGAACGAATATAGGGTATATGTGGAGATTATAGCATTTTTATAGTTGAATTCATAGAGTAACTTTAGCTAGGCCACTATTAAATACTTGAAAGCAGTGAACAGTGGTTCCATCTTAGTATAGGATTGTCCATTTCACAAGTGAATACATAGTTTGTAGACTACTTCAATAAATTTACGATATTGCACGATCATCTTTCATTGCCTGAAGTAAATATCTGTCTGACACTAGTCATGATTGAAACTCCACAAGTTATTTCCTATCACTTTGAACTCATATGATTATCTCTAAAAATTAGTCTCCGCCTTCACGCATCTGGATAGCATCATCAATGAACAAGGAGGATCACACGTAGACGTAAAGGTGAGGATTGGTAAAGCAAGAACAGCATTTCTACAGTTGAAGAACATATGGAACTCAAAAGAACTTTCAACCAATATCAAAGTGAGAATCTTCAATACGAATGTCAAGGCAGTTCTACTGTATGGAGCTGAAACTTGGAGAACTACAACAACCATCATCAAGAAGGTACAAGTATTTATAAATAGCTGTCTACGCAAGATACTCAATATCCATTGGCCGGATACCATCAGCAACAGCCTTTTGTGGGAGAGAACAAACCAGATTCCAGATAAAGAGGAAATCAGGAAAAGACGATGGCAATGGATAGGACATACACCACGCAAATCATCAAACTGCATCACGAGGCAACCCGTAACATGGGATCCTGAAGGGAAGCGGAAAACAGGAAGGCCAAAAAACGCATTACGTCGGGAATTAGAAGCAGATATGAAAAGGATGAATGACAACTGGAAAGTGCTAAAAAGGATTGCCCAGGACAGGGTTGAATGGAGAGTGCTAATGGGCGGCCTATGCTTTTTCACGAGGAGTAACAGGCGTAAGTAAGTAAATAAGTGAGAACATATTTTTATTCAAAGTTTACATGTATATGTATGACAATATGTAAAATTAATGTACAGATATATAAAAAACATATTACCTTTCCGAACATTATGTACCGATACTGGTTTATTTCCACAAACTCGAAATCCATAACCATATTCATCTCGTTGAACAATTGTTCGAAATTCTAATGCTACACTTTGATTATTCATTGTTGAATTTGTTAATTTTTCTTTTATATTTTTCTTTTGTTTTAGTTTATCAATTTTTTCTCCAATTATTTTGTTATTTTGTTTAGCAATATTATGATTGTTTATTTGATTAGTTTTATTAAGATTTGGTTCAAAGTCTTCACATGGTGATGATTCTGCAGTACTATAACGACTAGTTGAACTGTCTTCATCATCATCATCATCACCATTATTATCATTATATTTGTTAACATTATCATGATTACTATTACTGCTATTATTATTATTACAAGAAGGAAGTGAATCTATTGTAGTTTCATTAATTTGCATCACTGTACTATCATTATGAAATTTATTAATTTGTCTTTTAATGGTCTCATTTAATTCAACATTTTGATTATTCATATCATCATTTTCATGATTAATTTTTGTGGTTGACGGTAGATTTTCTGTAAAAATTGAATTTTGTTCAATTGAAGATTCAAGATTATTTAATATTTGTGTGGAACTAAGTTTTGAAAAGAAAGAGAAAAAAGAAATAAAAAGAAATAAATTGTTACACACAGAAATCAATAGGAAGTAGACGTAAAAGTACTTACAAGTTTTGTTGCCACGTTATATGACGTCATCAGTATATACTTGGAAAAGTCTAACTAATGTTATACTGAAAATGATATTTCTTTACTTATTCACATTCTTTCATCAGTTTTCAAGGAATTGTACTTACTGTTATATGATTATGACTGAATACTTCATATTTCATTAGGGATTTAAATATTTTATCATGGATGGTAAATTGATAAAAAAAATGTTAATCTCTGAACTTAGTAAATATTCAATGACTAAAGAATATCATGAGTCAATTGAAACTAGACGACCATGAAAAACCTGGAAGCATTGTACGGCTGTTTTGCTATATTTTGGGATTGCTCAGCAGTGCGCATCTACGACTTCACCCCACAGGATTCGAAAACAGGACCTATCAATTCATTTTATTAGAGCAAATTTTATGCAGATTTTATTCAAGTTTATTTTTTTCTAGTATTCTGAAAGACGATTGTCTACTGTTGTATTAAGAAAAGATATAATCTTAATAAGCAAATTACTTGTATTTCGATATGTATACAACTGTAGATTTGACATTAATAATTGGTTCCTACGATTCATTGTCACCCTGATGAATCACGTAAATTCATTTAGTTGATTGTATAAACATCATTGGGAAACACTTATCTACTATAACGATTTATTTCTTCAAATATTATTGGACAGTTTAAGAAATTGTACTTTAAGCAAAATGAATATTAACTACTTCCGTCTAGATAATTTAAATTAATGGGAAAAAGTGTAGTGAACGAGAACATAAGTGGAGACAATATATTCCAGTACGGTATTACAAAATATCTTAGTAAAATCTGAAAATGATAAAATAAATAGTTCATTTGCAAAATATCCATTAATTGTCTCAAACTTCATTATTCCTGTATTTCCATACCAATTGCTTTCTTTTCCCGTCTTTCTGCTCGATCTTCTCGGAAATCCTCTGCCAGACATTTTATTCCTAACTAGCGTTATATACTACTTATATCGATATAAGTAGGACACACCACAAAAGGACTTATTAAACGAAAAGATGAAAGTATTGTGTAGCTCAACCAATTTTTTTATAGAAAATGTTTTGTTTAAATGTCTTAATCGAATAATGAACAAACATTTGCACTCGAATTCTCTAAAGATAGACAGTTTTTCTTTTCATCCTGACTGACGAAATACTCAATCTAAATAGTAAGTTTTGAACTAAACAATAGAATGTGTAGCGTCTTTCTACTATGTATGGAAGTCATTTAATATTTTGCTGAATTATTTTTATTTCACGAACATATATCTCGTTTCAAATAGTTTTATTTAGAAGCCAAATACATTGTTAAACACTGAGACTTCAAGCTCATGAGTGTCCATGTTGCAAACTAATGGTTATGGATTAAAGAATATTCTTCGCTAAAAAATACAACAGCTTAAATGAGATATTAAATGTCATTTAATTACATATAAACCATGTATAAATGTGACCACTACTATTATTTGCTTTGATTTTATGTATTATTGATAATTTTAAATAACTGGTAACATTCTGGATAGTTTCAGAGATTTAGTATATAAGTCAAACTAATCGTGGACCCTACTCGAAAAAGCAAAACACTCAGTAGCTGCTAAATTCATTTCGTTACATGTAATGACATTTAGTGGAACGGAGATTTTCATATGTTATACCATTTAATCTAATTAAAGGGATCTATCGAAAGACGAAGGTGGTTTAACTACTTATATCGAATAATGGTAAGCCTAATTTTAATACATTTTTTCTCAAATATCATTTTATAAATCGGTCAACTAAGCTAATATGGGGCGATTATGTGTACACCATATAATTTATCACTTAGTTTTCAAGTAGCTATTTGAGTTTAATAGCAACTTTTACTGTTATTTTCCACGTATTTGTGATCTGGTTAAGTCGAGTGAATTCAAAGTAAGTATGACTGTAACACTGTTTGATATTTTCTTTAAAAGCATTTACACTGACCATGTTAACAATAACCAATTGTTAAGTAAATTAAGAGAGAAAAAAGGAATAACAAAGTGAATTAATTTCATCGGGTATATTTTAGTCTTTTCACTGACTCACAAAACTTATCTTGAGTGGTGGTTTCTACATTCAAGTTATGTAGGTGATAAATAAGTGAGACACAGTTCATAATACAGTCAACTATAGGAAAATCATACAAACAATTTGATAAAACAGGAGATATTTAAATATATCATGATCAACACAAGATCAGAAGGTTTTAATTTAGACTCTATGTACTATTAAGACGTCTGAATTCAGAAAGAAATAACTAGCCGATATTCTCTTAAATTTTTAATAATTCTCTCGCGAATATCATCTTATAACAAAAATAATATTATAATCTAATTTACTCACTGGTTACAATAAAGGGGTATCAATAATGAGACTAAAAAGATTGTTGGTATGAATGAAGGTTGTTAAAACTAAAAAAAATATTTACATCTTTGAAAAATGTAAAGGATATGAAATGGAATGAATTCACTTCATTCCATTATGTTGATTGTTCTTGATTTACAAAAGGTTGTTCAGTAAACTGTGCCTATAAAATAGTTGATTTGTGTCAAAATAAAATATTTTACTATTGAATTTGATTGAAATCGTGAACCAATTTAAGTTACACTACGACTGAAAATCTGGAAACACTGAATGGCTTTTTCGTACTAATATGGGACTCTTTAGAAGTCTACATCCACGATCCATGAATGCAAGATTTGTGAAAGTACTTGGATTTTATATCATAGAATGACCTTGAATAAGGTTAGAAATGTAAAATATGGAATGCCGACTCAGTAGTAAAAAGGCTAAGCGTTCACCTGGAGGATTAAAGTATCTGAGTTTGATCCCCAGTTGAGTCGAGATTTTACATTTCTAAAAAGTCCCATAGAAAAACCAAGTAACTCTAAAAGTGTTTTCTGGTTTTCAGTGATCGTTTAAATAAGGTTCTTTTGTGATGTAAATTTTAACCACCCTTTTATAAGTAAATCATTCAATTTTTTTCTTCAAGATTCTTTAATCCAGATGTTGAATTTTTTATGTACAGGTGGAGTAAACGATGGAAACAGAAAAAATCCATAGTTCTATGTTTTTCACTAGTTAGATAACGGTTTATAATTATAGGGTTACTAAACATTAATTTTCTCCTGGTGATCGACTGGATCATGAAGACGTCAATATCTGAGGGGAAGTATGGGATACAGTAGACAGCTAAGATGCAACTGGACGATCTAGATTTCACAGATGACCTGGCCCTTCTATCCCAAACGCAACAACAAATGCAGGAGAAGACGACCAGTGTGGCAGCAGCCTCAGCAGCAGTAGGTCTCAATATACACAAAGGGAAAAGCAAGAATCTCCGATACAACACAGCATGCACCAATCCAATCAAAATTGACGGAGACGATTTGGAAGATGTAAAAACCGTTACATATCTGAGCAGCATAATTGATGAACAGAGTGGATCTGATGCAGATGTGAAGGCGCGGATTGGCAAAGTTAGAGCAACATATCTACAACTGAAGAACATCTGGAATTCAAAGCAACTCTCAACCAACACCAAGGTCAGAATTTTCAACACAAATGTTAAGACAATTCTACTGTCTGGGGCGGAAACCTGGAGAACTACGAAAGTCATCATCCAGAAGACGCAAGTGCTTATTAACAATTGTCTACACAAAATACTTCGGGTCCGTCGATCAGACACTATAAACATCAACCCACTGTGGTAGAGAACAAAGTAGATTCCAACGGAGGAAGAAATCAGGAAGAAGCGCTGCAAGTTGTTAGGATTCACATTGAGGAAAGCACCCAGCTGCGTCACAAGGCAAGCTCTTAATTGGAATCCTTAAAGTCAGAGGAGAAGAGGAAGACCAAACAACTTACTATGCCGAGAAATGAAGACAGACATGAGAAGAATGAACAACAGTCGAATAGAACTAGAAAGGAAGGCCCAGGACAGAGTGGGTTGGAGAATGCTGGTCGACGGCCTATGCTCCATTGGGAGTAACAGTAGGTGCACCGAAAATGCACAAATTGATGACGTTGATTCAAATGAACACCTTTCATTATGTTATCATAATTTCTTCTGGATATTTTATGTTATGAATATCAATGCCTCTTTTACTGTCTTGAATACTTTCCGTATAAATAAATCAATTTCATTATCATGGCATTAATATCAATAAATTGATTCATGACTAGTTTTGTGAATTTTCTTTTGTAACTTAGGAAATGTTGAATATGTCTAACGGATCCAAATTGATAGTTTACAGAGAAAAATATTCCTATGTATAAGCAAATAAATTGTAATTGATAAATAAATGAAAATCAAATATATCCAAATGTTTATTTTTTGGAATGTTTTAACAAACAAAAGGCTGAATTCAAGTACATTCATTTTATCTGGTTTAAATGTAGGACTAGTAAAACCATTCCCTAACGAAACAAAAAGCTTGTGACTTAAGGCTGTATCGAGGCAATCTGTATAGGATGCACATATGCCAACATGTGACTGATCAATTACAGTCCTAAATAACAATGAGAAGATACAAGTAAAACAACACCAAATGAATTTAGAAATAAGTTCGATTTAATTGTTAAGTTTTATGCATTTCTTTCATTCCAAGCAAATAAAAATCACTTGTGAATGATTACTCTTTAGTAGTCATATTCATTGCTAATTACCAAACAATTATGTGATTGTTAATTATAAGGTCTAATATAATGCTGTTTTATCAAAATTATAATCAAAAGCTTCTAAAGTGATTGATACCGATCATATGGAATAGCTAATAAGAATGATAATAAGTCAGTAATTTTTATCTTTGTTAACTGTTCATTAACTGTTATTTACTTCATTATTCAGATATTTCATTATTGTCTTCAAT